AGCAGGGCAAGGGCGCCTTCCTCGGTCTTGCGTTGTCCGAGGCCAGCAAGGTATGCATGAGATTCATATCACATTTGGCGAACCAATGCATTCTTGAAGCCCACGTGTTTTCATCTGTGCGATGGCTGACATGTACCTTGTGATTAGCTGTTCGAAGACAAGGCGTCTGCGGGCAAGGTAGCCTCGGGCACAAGTAAAGAGAGTGTCATTCAACAGGCTGGTGAGGTCGCTATGAAGATGTATCTCAAGAGCCAGGGCCAGCAGCAGGGCGGTATCCTGGGGCTTGCATCAAAGTTTATGAGTTAGAGAATGGGAAGCACTCTGAAAGGAAGCGGCCGAGCCCTTGAGATGGTTGAGATTTTGTCGCATCAAACTCACGGGGTGGCTTAAATCATGGAACACTCATGTCACCCATTGTCCAGAACACGTCGGTCATTTTTGGTTTTCTTTGACACCAAGCTCAGAGGTGTATTGCAGCCGCAATGATAGCCTGCACACTCGGCTGGGTTGAGAAGCCGCAAAATCCCTGATAGTCTATTCGTTATGATTGTGCTAAGCAATAATGACAATAATACTGCATGAAACAAACATTTTTGTTCTCAGAAGCAAGTGGAGTTAGCCAAGGTGTCACATCCTATTGTCTGTCGATCTTACATGTGAACGTAGAGAGTGATGGCTGTTTCGGATGGAATTTGGTTATTCTTAGAGCCAATTACCGCAGAATGCACCAAAAGGACCCGTAGTTGGTCGAGTAAATGTCACCTTCCCTCCCAACAGGACCGCTAATGATGATACCTACCTGAAGTTAATATAGGAGCTATCTAATTAATGTCCTCTCATTGTGCAGCCTCGGCCTTGCCCCACTCGCATTCAGCTCGAACCAGCCCCTGCTTCTGGTGACGTTTAATCGCTTCCGTCTCAGGATTCCTACCTCAGGTTGTATCCCTCCTTCGCATTATCCTCAATATCGGAATTGTTGCGTATTTTAGTTCACAATGGCGCCCCCGAAAGCTTTTGCCAACTATCCCACACCCGTGGAAGGGCCTAAGGCCAAGTTTGAATCTTATGCAGAGCAGAACCCAGAGCTCCGGGGCATCCCTTTGTACATAGGAGCTAACGTGTACGCTACCTACTCTCTCCCGTCACTTCGCCGTTGCCAAACCACAGGAAAACTGACGAACCGTTCGGATTAGCATCGCTTCTGTCAGTCTCATCCAGAAATATCTCTGGAAAAATGCCGGATTCGGCCAATTGAAGGACATGCCAGAGCTGGATGATGTGGACTATCGCACACATGCAAGTCTCACATGGTCCCTTAAAGGGGACGAACGCTAGGGAACCTTTGCTAACAGCTACATGTACAGCCAACCGTAGTGCCTCTCGGCGAGAACGGGCCTGGCATGCTGCCCTGGGAGCCTGAGGTTCAAGTTGCTCACAATGGCGGTACTTCAGACAAGCCGCGGTATTATACCGCCGCAGACTACCATGAAATGTACAAGGCCGGCAAGGTCACTCCGCTACAGGTTGCTGAGACCCTCTTGGCTCTGACCGGGGAAGGCCAGAAGCAAGCCAGTATATACGCTGATGCTTGGGCCGAGTCTCACGGCAAGGACTTCCTCGCCCTGGAGGCAGCCAAGGCGTCTACGGAGCGTTACGCCGCAGGCAAACCTTTGGGCATCCTTGATGGTGTTCCTGTTGGTATCAAAGACGATATTGATGTCAAGGGCTACGTGTCCCACTATGGCATGAAATACAGGCCTGATATCGACTTCTTCAAGGAGCAGAAAGAATCTGCCTGGCCCGTCAAGAAACTACAGGAAGCTGGTGCCGTTATCATTGGAAAGAACCGAATGCATGAATGTGGTTGTGGTACGTCAGAATCGTTAAAGGTCGTCACCTTTCCCATCGAGATCCGAGCTAACACGAAATCGCAGAGCCTAGCGGTGCCAATGTAGGGCTTCTTTTTCGCATGTCATGGTAACACGACTAACCTTCTCGTTATAGGTTGCTCAAGGGACGCCAACAAACCACTTCAATTCCTCTTACTATCCGGGAGGTTCAACCTCTGGCGGATGTTCAGCCCTAGGTGCAGGAGTTGTTCCCATCGTTCTCGGAACTGATGCCGGAGGCAGCGTCCGTGTCCCGGCAAGTTTCAACGGCGTCTTCGGACTCAAGCCAACCCACCACCGCACCATGGAGATCAAGATGTCTACATGTGTCCTCGGGCCAATCGCAGCGACTGCTGCTGATCTCGCCATTGCCTACAGGCACATCGCCCAGCCAGACCCAGATTCCCCCGCCGGCAGACTGTTTGCCGCGTCTCAACCTCCGGCCCCAGGTGCAAAGAAGTTCATGGGTGTCTGGCGCGACTGGTGGGCCGTTGCTGACCCCCGGGTCCAAGCCGTCTGTAACAAAGCTCTAGACTACTTTGCAGACAAGCACGGCTATGAGATTGTCGACATCTCTATTCCCTGGCTAGCTGAATCTCGTGTGGCGCACTCTCTCATCTGCGTTACGGAGATGTGTGAAAAGGCTCGCCGCCGTACGCCCAACCCAGCCGACTGGCTTTCCCTCGTCTCCCCGGCTACCAAGCTCCTCATGAGCGTTTCGTCCAGCACCCCTGCGGCCGACTATCTCAAGGCCAATGGGCTGCGCGAGCTCATGATGCAGCACATGGCATTCTTGTTCCAAAAATACCCCGGCCTGCTCATCATGACCCCCACAACTCCCTTGGTCGGCTGGGCTCGCTCTCCCGGTGATGATTCGTACGGCTTCAGCGACACCAATACCACTATCAAGAGCATGATGTACATTTACTTGTCCAACCTTGTGGGAACACCATCCCTATCAGCGCCTGTTGGATACGTTGATCCAGACCAAGGCAAAGGCAAGCTCCCCATAGGAATTCTGGCCATGGGTGAGTGGGGAGCAGAGGAGCAGCTGCTGGTGTTCGCGAGGGAGGCCGAGGAGTATCTTCATGAAGCATATGAGGGCGGTAGGAGGAGACCGGAGACCTGGTTGGATGTTCTCGCCGAGGCATCCAAGGAAGCGACTGCGTGAGCGTAGCAAATCATACCGTTTGTCTGCTTGAGCAAGTTATTTTCCATCCACAACCGTAGGAACATATCTGCGGCTCGCCTTCCTGAGCGTTCAATAACATAATTATATTAGTACCCTGGTTGGATCATTTCTTGCAGATTACATAGTCGAACACAATATTTAAGGCTGTCACTCCCCCAATAACTTACTACATCCAAATATAAAGTAATAACCTCAGCTGAGCTCAGCACCAGGGCCTTGAGACCCACCTGTCCTAAGAATCGAGCCGTGAAAGCCGGGGAGCTGTGGAAATTCCCACGCGCGAGAACTCGAGGCCCTCCTGCACCCTGGCCCCAGATATGATATAATTAGTGGGGGGCCTCCGAGTTTTAATCGTCGCCGCTTGCCCGTCTTTAGTCTTATCTTGTATTACTGCGTGATTCCTGCCGGCACGCGTAATGATGCGAAAATCTCACCTTGACCCTCTTGCCTCTGCATGAGAGTGCATTCTCGCTAAGGCGACCTGCAGAGTACCATTCCCCTCAGTCTTTCCTTCGTAATGGTTGGCCAAGGCCGGATCATCCGCTCTCCGTCAATTCCAAGATTTCGCCACGTCAGCTCTCGCATCATATACGACAGAAAGTCGATCATAACGGCCCCAGTATGGCCGTTTTCCGGGTTTCAAGAAAAAAAAAAACTATAATTAAATACGAAGGTGACAGCGGGAGAGTGCTAGCAATAAATATGTATGTCTTATTCTTGACCATACACAAAGAAAAATGCCGATGGAAGATCGGACGATCAGCCATCAGGAACTTAGGTTTTAATTCCGGCGCCGCGGAGGCCTACATCACACGGCGCCAGACCTTTGCTGTCCTTGCATGTTGGTTCCTGGTCTTGCGGAAGCCAATCTAGACCGGTCTGGCAAATGAGGATTGGCGAAATACGGGCTTGGCTGTTACCCACAAAATTAACTGCAAATGTACTAGCGACATGAGATCCTGCGACATTGTTGCGACGGCACTTGACAGTCCTGAGGAAAATCCTGTCCAGCTGACCCCCAAGGCCGTTGGGAACGCATAGATGCCGCTTTGAACCAACTGTTCACGCTCAATACAATCGGACCGGGGCTTGAGTGACTAGCCCCAGAACATTGGTGATAATTTTGCTCTGGGCTGTCGCGTGCACTACGGGCAAGCTGGCTGCCTCCCACAAGCCAACTACCGTACCTAGCAGGTACTTACTAGCCACATTCTTTGCCAAGGCAGAGTTTGTGTTTCAAATGACTGCCTCTGCAAAATTGGAATGGCGCCTCGACGACTCGGCCGCCTGCGACAAGAGTAGAACAAAAATGCACGCATGAAGTGTAGCAGTACCGCAACGATACGTCACAGAACTCCCCTTCGTATGCTACATAGGTCATAGGTGTCGAGGCATTGCTTGCATCTCCACATCGAACAGGTGGTGAGGCTGATTGGGTGGTGTGTGGCTTAGCCTCCCTTTCCTCAGCCCACCAACCAAGACCGGGAGTGCCTGTCCTCCACCAGCCATCCCGCCCCTGTGTCAACTTAGCAGGTGGTGCCTGCCTTATGTACAAGTCCTAACCTGCCATGGACGTTATCTTCGTCTCGTCTGTTTCAGGGTCATAAAGGAAGGCACAGCTTTTCTGCGCTCTTCAGCATTTCCACTAGCCTTCGTCATCCATCAACGGCCCATCGAGTCCATCGAGGACCAGTCTCTCGCTCATCCCATCGCCATTCTCATTTTGTATAGAGTCCACTCTGCTTATTCCATTGTTTTCATTGTCGTCTCACCAGCGCTGCGCGCCTGGTCCTCCCTTGTCCCCGACCCGGACCCCTACAGCCACCTGCCACACCCCCGACCAATCTAATACCAACAGAAAAAGCTCACCTTTCGTCGCAACAATCCGCGGCTCTCGGCTAGAGTCAACATCATCATCTATGTCGACGTCGAGGATAGACTCTCGCAAGTCGCTGACGGGCAGCGACCCTGTGTTCTCTCAATCACACACGCCGGCATATACGAGGTCATACGACCCCATCGACTACAACCACAATCATCCGGCCGACTACAACCACCAGCCCGTCTACGCAGAGCCCAGCCCCGACCTTCATCCTCCTCCGCCTACGTACCCTCCGAACAACATGAACAATTCGAAACCAGACGAAGGATACAATCAAGGCTATGCCCATCGCCAGGGCTTGGCGCCTTCGTCGCCCCAGGCGAAGTCGGCTCCGAAGAGATGGTGCGCCTTCATGAGCAACAAGTGGGCTGCCATGTTCTTTGGTGTCACGGTCCTCCAGGCTATCATTTGCTTGTGCTTTGAATCGTAGGTTTTGATCCTGGCATTTTTATGCGCATTTCGTTGCAGGCACTCACCATGTTCACAGCTACATCTTTGCGAAATTCCAGTCACAAATCAGCCCCAATCTTCCCAGCGTTCTGGCACCCGAAGTGAAGAAAGAAATCGAAGCAAACATGAAGACGATTCCAACTTTCCTGACCCTGTTCATCTTCGGTTTCTTGTACGAGTTCATTATTGTTTGGGATGCTTTGCGCGCCAAAAACACCATTCAGGTTATTGGAGTGTGCTTTGCCAACCTTGCACTCGTTGTGTATACAGCCATCCAGGTCGATCAGATGAAGTGGGCGCTTGATGAGCTGTTCAAGACTGGACAGGTGAAGGACGTTATTAGCGCCGACATCGTTTTCGAGTGGTTGCGACCATCCCTCATCGTCATTCCGTGTATCATCGGATTTGTCACTATTCTGATGGGCTTCATAACATGGAAGCTCTACCAAGAATTTGCCTGGGACATTCTTAAGATCATCGGTGCCGACTACAGAATGAAGAAGCGATTCCTTCACTATCAGGTCAGCTTTCAGACCCTTGGTTTTTTTTCCTCGACCGACACATTACTAACATTTTATAGATCTACATCGCTCTTCTCAAGTTCGATTTCTTCTTCTTCCTCGGATTCATCATTCAACTCGTTGTCATTGTTACGGATACACAGGATGTCGAATTTGCCCTGACGATCGTTACCATTCCGATTACCATCCTCATTCTTGTTGCCGCCGCATTCTTCACCCGAAGGGAGAACAAATGGGGAATGGGTGGTGTCTTTATCCTCTACATCGGTGGTCTTACCTATTTCATCTATAAGCTTGCCCGCATTCACTCTACGGACCCCAAGTGGCAGGAGTACTACAAGACTGTTCGGAGGTCCTTGACAGCCTTTGCCGCCATCACCATCTTCTTCATTCTACTCACGATGACCAACTGCATTGTCTGCGTGCTCAACTTCAACAAGGGTCTCAAGCAGCATCTTCTTTCCAAGAAGAAGAAGAGTCTGGAAAGCCAAGAGGGCAATGACGTCAACCTTAACGACGTGAAGCCACAGTCAAGCAGGATGACAATCGATTAAGTCATCCAGGTGAACGATCGACCAATGGACATACGAAAATCCAGAAAAGAAGAAAAAAAAGTCGTGCGGGGAGAGTTCGCGACGCGGGGTGGTGTATAAAGACACGAAGTTATGATCATTGGAGCAGGTACCGGGCGGTGTACTGCGGGAACAGCAAGTGCTGGCTGGACACAACTTTTTCCTCACTGTTCCCCCGTACCGCGCTGCCTTGTTCTCACCAGTTTTGGGCGTCATTCTTATACCAGGCATCAGGTCGCCATAAAATCGTCCTCAAGGGCCCAATGGGCCGGAGTTTGCGGTACATGTCTCTTTATTTTGTTGCCATTTTCCTCTATGTTACTATCTTCTGCCGAATTGTGTTTTGGATGATGTTGGTCAAAGGGCCAACGAACCTGGGGCAGCTATATTCTGTCAATTTTTAGAGTGATCTTCCAGGTTTGAAGGAGGGTAGAAGCAGGTTAGTTTCAAGGGAAAATGTGCCAGTTACTTTACCTCCGATTTAGATGGGGGTTATATCTAGGCTCGCTCTTTTCTTTTTCTCAGATTCTAATATTTTTCCGTATATACATATATTAAAACCAAGAAGCCATGATTTCCCTCGAGTGACTTCTACGTATGTGAAAGATGAGTGGTGTTTCATATGATGTATTGATGAAAACTTTGCAAGTATACAATGAAATGTAAAGTCTTCGTCCCCATGCGCCTAAACCCCTAATGTTAAACAGATATTCGCTTGATCCGCGTCTCATCAATCCTAAGTACCTTTCCGCATATGACTCCAGCTCGAAGGCTAAATAATACCTATCGGAGCTCGAGTAGGAAGGAAAGAAAAAACAAATTGCCAACACCCAATGAGCACCGTGATGAATAGAAAAAAAGGCCGTTCCAAGTGGTGCAAGTAGTAGACAGACCTTAACACGTCCAGCATGCTTCGTACCTTGAACCGAAGAGGGCAAATCACAAAAATATCTCTACCGTGTCCGATGTTGCTCCCTCCTGTGGGCAGTAGGGGCACTTGTACCGAGAGCCCTTGGCGATGTTATGTAGACTGTCTCGGGAGATGACGTGCCCGCAGATGAGCATCATCGGGGGGTTCAGCTCCGTCGTCTGCTCCTTGCTGACCGGACAGACGAAGATGGGATGGTAGATCATCGACGGAGGAAGCGGGGTCTCGAACGCCAGCTCATTCACCGTCGACCACTCCGTCTTCTTCTCCTTCATGTAAGTGGTGTATTTCAAGAGCCGGGGGAGGGCTATGGACCCTGCCGTGACGGCCACGTAGAGGGGCGACTCGGCTGAGAGACCCAGGAGAGAGCAGAACTCGCGAGTGAAGCTGAGCGCGACCTCATCGAAAGCAGTGTCGGTCTGGAAGAGGTAATTATAGGGCGACTCTTCGAGATTCGGGGCGTAGACCATTGCGGTGCAGAGCTGGGCAATCTCGCGGAGGTGGCGTCGCTGGAAGCGAGCAAAGTGCTGTCGTCCGTACTCGAATGCGCTGGTCTGGCCAGCGTACTCTGATTCCCTTGTCTCCGAGGCACCCTTGAACAACCAGATGAACTGGAGCTTACTGAGTTCGAACTCCAGGGTGCTCCCTCTCGCTTCCAGTCTCCTACTATTTTCCCGGGCCCATTCAATAGCGGGTATCAGATTGGACGCCTTGAGTTCAGCGAGGATCTCGTACATTTTGGAGAACTGGTGCTGCAGGTCCTCCTTCGACCGGGAGTCCATGTCGTTATGCTCAGTCGCATCCAGGGGGTTTGCCATGAAGGATTCGCCCCGGGTTATGTGTTCGGTCTCGTCGACGAACGTCGACGCAACGGAGAACTGGCCCTCGCGGAGCAGGTGCATGCCGATTGCGCGGACGACGTGTTCGGGGTATTCTGCCATGGCATCTGTTTCCATTGGCAGATCTCTGAGCGGCATGGCCTATGGGACGATATATATCAGCATATGGTTCCATAATCCAGGTATCGGAAAGGGAAGGTTATCCCCATACCTTATCAAGGGCTTTTCCAAAGGCCCTCTGCGCCTTCGTCACTTCTTTAAGGTCGCTGGTAATCGCATCGCATTTTTCCTTTATTGGATTTTGTAGCCTTGTCATGGCCATGGATATCTTATGTGATTCGGATTCTGGGTAACGGTCAGACCTAGTGCCTCATAGATATGAGCTCAAAGGGTGGGCGGGCCTTCAATGAGCACTCACCTTGAGCAACTTGTTCTCTGGTCCGTTCAAGCATTTCTAATATCTTATCGACGTCTCCTATGGCGGCATTTAGATTGGACTTCTTCATGCGAGCCAGATCCGCCTGTAGCGGCGCAAACGGCGACGCGGGGGCATTATCGGCGCCAGTCATCGTGGGTGGTGTGTTCGAGCTCGAGCTCAGAGAAGCTAATGTCGATCTCCCCGCTGAAAGGTCATACAAGGCACAGGTATACGCCTATGCCTTGCGATTTTCGGTCGTTTATAAGGGGAAGTCGGTCCAGAGATTCGTCTCGCCGCAGTTGAGCTGTAAATCCGAAGTCGCTGGGTTTGTCCAATGACGAGATCACTCTAAGTGGTGGTGTTGAAGCAGTCGAGCCGTTATCGATAACAGCCGAGCATGCGGTCTGGCCCCAGATTCATGCAAGTGGTGCCGCCATGCATCAAACCCATATAGTCGCATAACCGTGCGTGGAGCCACAATTACGTAGCCGGTAGGATTATCACATGTGTGGACCCGCCGACCGAATGAATGGGATAGCTTTCCAGGCTGCAGCAGACATACAGATGCATCGCGCCTCTGCAACATTGGCTTCTTCCACAACCGAATAGGAAATCCCATGCGCGGAATCTTGCTTCCCAACGCTACCCCGACTGCATAGTCCTCAAGAATGCCCTTCTGCCGCTGGCGGGGAGCCTCAGGGGCCGACGACATCTCGACACCATGAGCTTCTTCACCTCCCCTGTCGAAGCGCGGCTACTTGCACCTCACCGCGAAGACGACTTGGTTCCAGTCGCAAGCAGATCACAAGCCCAACGCAGTGCGCGAGGGACATCGGGAGATATGTCGGATACATTTGGGGAGCCACTCTCCCATAACGGCTCTGGGGACCTGGGAGCTCGCAAGAACATCGTTTTCCCTGATCCAATAGCCTTCAGGTAAGGGATACAGTCCTGCGAATCCTTACCTGGCATTTTAAGCTTCTTTATTCTAATTATGCATCTTTTATTTGTAGATACCTCGAAGATGATCCTTGTGTGCGAGTCGTCGAACGTCGTGCAACCTTGCGTGGGTACGAACTATACCTCGTCGAACAGTGGGCGTGTTCCAGACAATCCCCCACGCTGGTCATTGTCACATATACCGGCGACGAGAAACACTCTGTTGTGGTCGGTGTTTTGTCTGTACCGGCTGATGAAAACTTGTGGTCCATCCGATTGCGTGTGTATTTCAAGGCCACCGGGCAATACCTTGCTCGCCCAAAGGACACGGAATTGGGAGAGCTCATGGTCACCAATCTGAGCAGCTTCCCTTCCTCGTTAACAGTTATACCAGTTCCCGACGGCGATATCAAAGCTCATCGAATGAACTTCATCGTCAATGAGAACCTCAAGCGCCTGGGCTGCTCTGGCCGCTCGGCCTTGACACTGACCCCACCAGCCGAGGCGACCAAAGCCAAGTTTCTGTCCCTATACAAGGTGTCTGACAAGATCAATTTCACCACAGCTGTTATTGAACTAGTCAAGCTCTGTCAGGTCGCCCTCTATATGTTCACGAAGCTTCAACATGAATACATTGACGGTCTACTGTGCGATGTTACCGAGAAAGCTATTGGGGACTGGTGGACAGAAGTCGGAGCTGAGCACTTCAATTTCGAGCCAAATGATGGGATCCTCGGTCCCGCAACAGTCGCAGCCCTTCTCGGTATGTTCATGGGTGCCCGGAACAGGTTGTACTCGTATGGCGCCCCGGTCGCCAAGGACGTGTTCGACGTCGAGAACACGAAGAGGGGGATCTACTACTTTCAAAAGTCAGTCAAGCTAGAACGGACTCGTCGGCTTGACCGTCCAACTCTCCTCAAACTCCACAACGTCACGGCCAAAGCTGCAGCCGGTGAGGGCTGGGGGGTTCAGAAAGCCATGAAATCGAGGATGACTGAAATCGGAGGCAAGAGAGGAGAAATCGTCATGGGAATAGTTTCTGGCAAGGATAAAGGCGGACTTGCGGATGTGGAAACCTTGGACATGGACACATTCGTCACGTTTGCATACGGAGAACGTGCAAAATGGCTTTGGTATGGCAAGCCGCGACGTAGCCCGGCAGAGAGTAACAATTCTGAACCTGGGCCTTCCGCGCTCGCTTTTGGAAAACACGAAGAATCGGCTCAAGCTCTTTATCGGCCGCCAACCGCTCAGAATAATGAAGAGCCCGAGTTTAAACGAAGAGAGGAGTTTCATCACAGCTTCCCCGAGATGTCTCCAAGCTCAACGGCAAACTTCATGGAGAGTCCCGGAGAAAAGGAGGCCTCACGGAGGAATGTCCTCAAGAGTGTGGCTGGCAAGATGAGCGACGCAAAATCCGGCTTTGGTCGATTCAAAGATGTCGTTGGAGGCTCGAGACGTGGCCATGTCAGTCGTCCGTCGATTACGACTAAGGAAGAGATAGTCCAGGCCAAAAATGGACAACCTGTCCTCTCAAGTGCCAGTGATCTCTCGAGTGTTGCAAGCCCTGGGATAATGCCAATTGGGAGGGCATTTACGTGGAAAAATAAACCAGAGGAGTATCTGGCAGCCATGAAGCGTGGAGAAGACGCATTTACAGTTCCGCCTCCAATTATGGAGTCAAGAGACCCCTCAACTTCAACCTCTGACTCAAAGAATGCCAAAAGACCGGCCGATTCTGACCCGGAATTGAGCAACCTCGTTTCAGATTTACGGAAGGAGGTCCTTTTTGCTGACCCATCAACCGGCGGTTCTGTTGCGGATGAGCAAGACTTTCAAGGCTCCGCAGCGGAAGCAGAGCGAAAGGAATTAATGTACCAACTAGAGCTGGCGCGACGTAATAGTTTTGATGTTGGGCAGCTCTACATAAAACACGAGTTTAATGAGAATAGGTGGCCTCGACGAACTTCTTTCGGCGATGCTGAGGAGGCCATCTTAACTTGGGAGGAGATCATTGATATCGAGGGGCACACGGAGAGTCTCAGAGATGTAAAAGCCGTTGCCGAAGTGGTACGCAATCTCAGCCTCAGCATCGACGACATCACGTACAATGTTGAACCCTGGGTTGAGGACAAATTAAGATCGGTTGCAGTTCTGGACGAGCGCCTCGCCAGAGACAAGGAGGACATACAAGCCTTGTATCATCAACTCAGCGAAGCATGCTATCGTGTTCGATATAACTCGGAGCAAGTTATAGGGGATGAGAGGTCCAGTCTCACTCAGAGTGTGAAAGATATTGAGGAGCTGCTTACAAGGCTGGAATATGAGATCAACTCGGTGTCACAGAAGGTTGATGACGTGGAAGAAGGTGTGCAAAACTTCCAGCGACAGGTCGAGGATGTCGAGAAGAGAGCTGAAGAGCTAAAGGCCCAGCTGGAGACTGAGACATGGCTTCACTGGGTTGTTCGGAAAGTTACCGGTATCGGGATGGGTGCAAACATCATCGAAGACCGCCGCTGATATCTTTGCGATTCTTTTGTACAAAATGGTATACTTGGTGTGTCTTTGGGGATATGGATTTGAGCAAAGATTTAAAGCACTTCAGCGTGGGATACCCTCATATATAGGCACATGGCGTTTCCAAAAGTCACCTCGACTCCAATAGAGGAGATTTCATGCGATTATCATGATATTATACATACATATTCAAACACCGACTACCAACTTGTCTGGAATTTTTTCCAGCAGTGCCAATGCTCCCTTTTGTGCCCAGGTATAGCCAGTGTTCCCAAATGCGGGATGCCGACAGTTTATTCGTCCAACTCGTACAAAGTTCCATCCTTTTCCTCGGTAATCTTCTATGATGCAAGAAAGGTAGCAAATCTAGAAGAGCCCGCCGCCTCCCTGGTTGCCGGCGGCTTGGCCCTCCGCTTGCATGATCTCGCTAACCTTGATGCTCGTGTCGAGGAACTTGGCGGTGCAGCGGTCGAGGCAGACGGATTCACCCTTGTTGAGCTCGCCCTCGCGGTAGTCTGTGGGGATGCACTTCTTCTGGCACATGGCCTGGAGTCTACACCGCACGATTAGCAAAATAGCCCCCCCCTCGTCGTGATGCGACAGAGTGTAATTACCTGTTGTATGTGTCGGCCATCATTCGCATCTCGCCCTCGACAGCAGCGATCTTCTGCTCTGAGGTGTGTTGGGGGCGTCCGAGTCCGAGGAAAGACATTTTGCCGGTAATTGAGATCAAGTCGGTATGTAGATGAAGCAGACTGGTGATGGTTCGTCTGAGGTTTGAGGATGGTTACTACCAGCCGAAGGTTGATTCTATGAGAGCTAGCAGTTATCGCAATTTTTGCTTATCGAGGTTGGGTTATCGAGTCGGGTCCGATGCGCTGGGCTTGTAAATGGAAAACCGGACAAGGGATATCATGGTTTCGTGGTCTAGTTGGTCATGATTTCTCGCTAACATATCTTGTTAATTCCGAGACGGTCCCCGGTTCGAGCCCGGGCGAAACCACAGCTTATTCTTTTTCGTATTTTTTTTTTGTCGAGGTGTATTATCCAAAGGGCTATTTCCTAAATGGGTTGTTCCGATGTGGCTGGCTGGATCATGAAATCATGAATGGCTACAAGTGCTATGTTTGTTCTTCAATCACGTTTATGTATTGCCATGTTTCAATATTCAATGTCGGGCGCATGCAGTAGGATTGACCACCTCTACCTCAGAAAGGCTCTTCGCTGATTGATCATCCAGTGTTGAATTACTACCTAGTCTTTAACCCCGTGTTTCGTACGGATATCCTCATCTGGCTAGCAACCTATTCGTTCTTGGAGGGCGCCTTACTCCTGGCCCCTCTTCTAGCGTATCGCTGCGAGTTGCCTCATTGTGTTCCTCGCTCGGGAATTGCCCCAGTTCGATGGCAAACCCCAGAGAAAAAGAAATTACCAAAGTAAGGCTATTGGCTGCTTCCAACAAATGCCTATCTCTACTCCACACCGGTAAGTGTAACTAGGTGTGTACTAGATGTGTTGGGTCTACTTCTGTGATACCTCTTACATTTGGGGTTACATCCCAACTCCCTCACAAATCAGCACATGCCCAATGAGCCGACATTTCAAAACGATTTCGTAAGAATTTCTGGGTCGAGAAAAGGTTGCGGAGTAGCAGTCGTATCAACCAGCACTTCCTCTACAAATCCGATGTTAATAACATGGACTGACTCACGCAAGAGCCTACGCACCAGGTTCTGGCTTGGTCCCGGGTAGCACGAATTTTAGTTCAGAGCTGGGCTTGGGACAGTGAGTATGAGAGCTGGGCTCTGGCGCGGGCTTGAAGGTCAACTTGACTGGTCGTTTGGTTGCGCTAGGATCAGGCATGGTGCGAAAAGCAGGAGACGGCGAAAACAGAAGTTTCTCTGCGGGATCAACTGAAACGATTGGATGCATGTATTGTGCTTGTTTTCTCGCTGCTTTCTGTGACGGGGAATTTCCTACAATGGCCTAGCAAAGACTAAGTGGGCGTCAGAATAACAGGGACTGCAAAAAAGCACGTGCAGTGATGATCAGCTGCTGCGTTCCACGCCACTCAACTGCTTGAATAATTCTGCAGAGGTGCCTTTCCAGTACCTCTTTTTCTGTCATCTTTGCAAAGGCGTTCTTTAGGACGAGCCCCACTTCTTGTCCATGCTCCGCTTTCGCACGTGATAGCAGCTCGTAGCCAATGGCTGCGCAGGACGTGAGCCACTAGTCGGGTCGCTCTCACCTCTCTGTGCGGGGCAATGGCACTCCAATGGCGAATCAGCTCGTGCGATTATTTTGCTTCTTTCCCTTCCCCGCTCGTTCCACACCGTTGAAAATCAATCAAAACCCTCTCATTTCCATGCCACCTCCGCATTCGGCCTCTATGTCTCTCCATAATCTTTTTTCATCCCGCCCAACATTGCGACACCGGCCACCGCTATTGTTCCCAATTAGCGTCCAGGTATTAGCAAACGCTTCCTATAGCCTGGAGCCTCGTTCGCCCCATTCCTCTGTATAGCTTCCTGGGCAATTCGCCCTGTGACGCTGCCCTGGGCAGCTGGGCTGTTTGATGGACAGCGCGTCCATCATGGCTATTGGTGGGGCGAACTCGATGAGCCCAACAAGCCCCGTCAGTTCGCGTCATGGCGGTGCGACAAAGCGCAAGCGAAGCGCTGGGTTCGGGGGGCTCGAGAGCAGTCCGGGCAGTTTGATCGACCACGACGAAGATCATGCAGACAATGAGAAAAAGAGACAACCTGGTGTCAAAAGAGCTTGTAACGAGTGTCGCCAACAGAAGGTAGGTTCCACCTTACGCTTCCTGCTTGGCCTGGGAGCGCGCTGGCCATGGCATGTAAAAAATAAAATGCTGATTCAAGCGCTTGGTGATAGCTTCGCTGTGACGTGGTCCAGGACCCTTTCCAAAGTTGCTCGCGGTGTCGACGTCTCAAGCTAGAATGCAAGATCGAGTCCAACTTTAAACGTGTCGGAAAGCGTAGCAAGCACGCCGAGATGGAAAAGGAGATTGAGCGCCTGCGACGAAACGTTTCAAACGCACAGGCCCAGGGGTTCATCGCGGACGAGGACGACGACCAAATCAATTCTCCAATCACGCATACTACGCAGTACACACACGTTCGCAACCCGTCTCTAATGGGGTCGGACGAAGCCGTTTCGTCGTTACTCCATCTTAAGAGGGGTGGCTCGTACAATGTACCACACTATTCCCACGAACTCGGAGCGGTGCGCCTGACGGACGAGGATGTAACCCAACTTTTTGGAGAATACTTTGACGTATATCATCCTTTCCTCCCCTTCCTCAACCCGCAACAGACACCGGCGCAATATCACCAGCAGCACCCCCTTTTATTTTGGACGATTGTCGCCGTCGCAGCGAGGCGTTTCTCTCCACCGAATGCTCCTAATTTGTTAAGCAACATCTCTATAGCTCTGACGAGTTTCCTTTGGACAACCATAGGCGAGGTGCCTAGCAGCTATTATGTTGTCAAGGCCATGTGCTTGCTTTGCGCTTGGCCTCTACCTACAAGCACTACGGCATCAGATCCAACTCATATTCTTTGCGGAGTCATGATGAAGACGGCTACGGGTATTGGTCTGCACCGGCCAAACCACATCCAGGATTTCTCGCGCATCTCAGTTGAGCTTAACCAGGATCAACTTCGAGATCGTGTGACCACCTGGGCTGTGTGCAACATTGTGGCGCAAAACGTCGGCACTGGATATGGCCAGCCGTCGTCTACCTTGTATGACTGGACACTGGCGATGAGGCCTGGAGACGATAACGCACTTCAGCTGAGTCCCGAGTTGGAGGCTCGACTCCAAATTGAGAGATTTTGTGACAAAGTCTCCAAGGAAATGTACAGCAACGCAAGCGACCCTAGAGGTGTTGCCGGTGACGAGCACCGGGCTATGCTCATGAGAGTATACCGACGTGACTATGCTGAGTTGCATGCCAACATCATGTCTCAGCGGTTGGGTCCGATCGTTAACCTCCACCTCCGCGCAGCTTGCTTGCACATGAGGCTTGCTGGATTCTTCGATTCCAGCACTACGCCTGGCTACATGGACGATTTGATGGGGCTTTGGAGATCTGCAACCAACTTCCTAGACGACGTCCTGGAACAAGGCCAGGCCAAATCTCCAGGAGCCAAGAGCAGCCTCCCGATGTTATCATACTGTACCAATTACATTCAACAAATGCTGGTGGCGGCAGGCTTCACTATCCTGAAGCTGATGAGATCGTTCTTCTCCAAGACGATTGAGTTTGCGAGAGCCCGCTCCTTGTTCCAGCAAACCGTCCACGCAATACGGACGACCAGTGTTGTGCACAACGACCTGCAGTGGCGTTTGGCTGAGTTGATGTTGCAGATGTGGAACGGCGCCCGTATGGACAGCAATAACCACGCCCTTGATCCCCATGATGATTCGCCAGTACAAGTTGATGATAGCTTACAACTCAAGGTTCGGTGTCGTCACAGCATGAGTCTTGTATTTGATTCCGTTTGGCGTTGGAGAGAGGAGTATCAGTCCCAAGGAAGAGGGACTCTAGAGAGTAAGGTTCCCCTGCCAGAGCAGGATTCATCTTTCGCTACGATGTGTGATGTGCTAATAACGGTATTGCTGCAGGCATCAAACATACACCTCAGCCGGAACCAGCAAACGATTCTTCAGCCTCGTCGACCCATCTCGACAGCACCTTGATGCCATCGCACAGTCTCGGGGCCTCCAGCATGCTCTCAACTAATGGTGCCCTAACTCCCGGCGCAACTGGCCTCTCCGCCCCTTCCTCCGCTCCTAACAGTCTCATAGGGGCGATGAACTACGGCGATTCCATTGACTTTTTCGACCCGCAAAACTGGATGCTCGACGGTTTGCTCGATTTTAATTATTCGTTCGTCACGCCGCTCGAGGGTGGTGTCTAGTCTGGCTTGTTAGTGTTTTGCTTCTCGAATGAACCAGGGAGAGAATGTTGCCTGAAACTTACCTATATGCTTTTCGAAAGTTAGTCTGCGTTTTGCTTTTTCTCCAACCCCTTCCCCGAAGAAGTTTTGAAAAAAAGGGGGAGTAGTTGTCGAAGTGTTGATCGGAAGGCGAAGTCGAATTAGGAAGAAGAAGAAGAATAAGCTTCCTCTCAACTATGAAAATCGGAAGGTAAGGCACCGCAATTGCCGATGCTCTTACCAAGGCCCGTGTTTTTTTCCCTGGGCCTAGTAAAGTTTTGCTATTCAGATAACGCGTTATTATGTAGCTCGAGGCCTTCTAGTTTGTCTTACCCCCTAGGCTGGCTGCAAAGTATTGATATGATTTTAGTGTTAGGATACGGTTGATGGGTTGACGAACATTCGGTAGTCTAGACAGCTCTGCGTTCATGGGATGCGCATACGGGATGTACACGAATGTAATGATGTATAAAATTCGTAGATGAATTGAATTGTTTCGTCAAGTTGTATGTTGAAGGCACAGTGAATGGTTTCGATCGAAACATGGGCCACAAGGTAGACTAGATCAGTGAGTCTGCGAAAGCCTACACCTCTCTGCCTGGTCAGAGTACGCCCATGACCTCTACTGTTCTCGTTCTGTTGGGGATTCGTGATCTTGTTCGATTGTATTCTCTCGCGTTCTCGTCTAGCTTGGTTCTACAACGTTCTCGTTTAGCCAGGAACCCCCTGGGTTTGTTAAATCACCTGGATGACTGACTCATAAGGCGAGGGCGAGAGCCAAGTTCAACTATACAGGGAGGAGGGCGTGTATCAATTCAGTCACGACGACGATTTGACATTGTGGCGCCGGAGAGCGAGGCTCCCTGGGAAGTAAGATCTGTAGGCAGAAGTCTCCATGTGACGATGAACTTTGTCCGTTTCCCGGTCCCCAGTTGAGCCTCATCGTCGCATCTTCCCCCGTGTTCCCCGAGAAAACTTGCATCGCGTAATCTGACTGCACCCAAAACCAGAACACCGGAAGCCCGATGGGAGATCCTGGTTGAGATTGTCATTCATACGAGGTTCCAAGGCCAGCAGCAGGGCTGTGTATAGCAACCACCCACAATTGACTTCCTCCACTTGGAACGTGGCCAGGACAAATTTGGGAGATCAACGAGGCTGAGCAATGATTATTCCGGTGATGGGGGAAAATCTAGAAACAACTTGACTCGATGCGGCTCTCCGGAGGGCCATTATCGTGAGTCTGCCTCTTCATTGATGTCCCCCTTCGTGGGTCGGACTTGGCCCCGTTTCATGCGACCGCGCTCGTCTTTTGCACGGCCACACTCCGCGTTTAAAAAAAGGGAATTCTGCCGCAGAATACGCCTAACGCACGTTGAACAAGCGCTGGAATCCCGAAAGATCGTGGAAAAAAAAAGCTTCATGGATTTCACATCGCCAGACTTGCTCGCGGAGAGGAGAGGCAGTGGCCTGGTCGATGCTCGGCGGGTCGGTCATGGGCCTGCCACCGACCGGTCAAGCATCAACCACACCCCCTTTCTTCTCCCCCCCTTGCGCCACATCGATCTATACCCGACTGGCTCATGTCAAGCAAGCCGCGGGACAAAGAGCCATTGTTAATCTTGTTGGTTGCTCGAGGCTAGGCGGGTAAGGCAAGTCGTCGCGGCTGGGGGTCTTCCGTCGAGCTCCGCGTGATGGACTTCAAATGAGAGAGAGGAGGGGGGCGTGGCCTGAACCTCCCGGAGGTTGGGCAAAGTACCAGTACACGATATCAACACACGTATGCAAAAACCCACTTGGGTCGAGATGTCAAGAAAGTTTACTGTGCTGGCGTTCCCTCTTGAGACCCCCAAATCCAGGGGCGAATGAAGGAGGGAGGGAGGTGTGGGCTGGCGGCGGCAAACCCAAAGAGCCAAGCAGCCAACGCACGCTCGGCACTCTGGATCGAACGTTTTGTGACCAACATCACGAGTCTGCTAGCTCGACTGGACGGCCGTTCTGGCGCCTAATCGCCGATGGGTCCAGGAGATCATTGACAGTTGACAGCCATCTCAGGCAACACCTTCAAGGCATGGCGTCACTCAGTCGTTAGTAGTCTCCGGCCCTGCGAGGGCGCCATTCCCGTTCCTGTTCTCCTAGCTTCGTACCTCCTCTTGAACGAGGTCCGAGGTCCAATATCAACGTTTGAGGTATTGGGTTGTAGGTATAGGTGGAAATTGAGCATCATTCCCTGCCTCCCCCTTGCATCGTTATATTGCAACAGCTGCCCGGTTTCGGCTAAGGTATATGGGATATAAATTTGGATTCTTCATGAATCTTATGCACAAAAGGAGAAAGGTACATGAAGAGAACGGCTATCATTGATTTCACTGGCAGCACATGTGATGAAAGGGGGGGCGGATGGATGCCTGTTGGCTCGGCGTACAGTACGTGAAGATGTCATAAACGGGCCGCCACCACAAGCTAGCAGCCTTTTGGCTTTGAAGCCTAATTAGATCCCCATTGACCTCCAAGGCAATCTTGTATTGAGGTCCTTTTGAGTCATCATCAACTTACAAAAGGGGAATGGAGGGTGGGAGGTGTTTTCTGGCCCGTGTGTGCAACGAACGTGCCCACCACACACACCTCCACAGGATAGCTCCCCGAATCCCCGCCGGTCGAGGCGCGCGAGGCTGTTGACCGAGCATGAAACGCCGACTAGCGCATGCTGTCGAAATTAGAGGGCTCTGTTTCGACCAACACGCGGAGCTGTAGGGCGAAAAAAGTGCCGTAGGGGGCGTCAAAGCTTTTGGGGTTCGGCATCGCGAAGTCCAGACCCCACGCGCCAACAAGCGAGCGACTTTACTCAGAGAAGACCAGATACCGCACGACTAACACGCAGAGGCTAGTTGAGTTAAGGCAACGTTAACCGAAGGGCGGAAGCGGCATTGTCTGACGATTCAGTCCAATATCATGACACCAACCATCAGGGCTGGTGCAACTCGTCGGCCCCCGGTTGTCATTCGCCCTCTGTGAAAAGGAGGCATAGAGACGACCCTAAAAAAGAAACCACACTAAGAGTAGGATCGGAAGGCTGAAGATACGTCGTTATGGGTCCCGAGTATACACCAACGCATTCAGTTTGAAGTTGCATTGGAAAGCCAAGGCTCAAATCAGACGTTGGAGGTGACATTGCCTAGCGTGAGCCAGCCAGTTCGCGTCTATGAAGGAGCCGCATGAGCATGATTCCACTCCCCATGATGACCGGGAGAATAATCCATGAAAAAAAAGAGGATTCCTTTTTTTGGGCTGCAGTTCTGGATTGGGAGATGGAGCGCGCCTTATGCGGCCCTGGCGCTTATCGATGAAGCTTGAGGTGGGCTACCTTAGCTTGGAAAAGACTCTGAGGCGGAGCTTGGGGTTGGCCTGGCCAGAGCTGCCGGCGCTACTCTGCTTGCGTGTATGGAGACGGATTTCTTCATTGAAAGCCGTTTTATCTTTCCTTTCTCAGCGTGGATGGACCGAGATGGATCCGACGAGGACGGGCGGTATTGGCACGCCCACTCCTCCCGCAGGGACGAATCTGTCCGGTTGAACAGTGGCTCGGGAACCGACGGATCGTACGTGGACTCCCAAGGCGACTATACACGTACACGTACATGAGAAGGCAGCTAGATGTGGAGAGATATTCAATTTGGGGGGGACAGGGAGCGGAAACAGGGGAGCATCAGAGGATTCCCAAGCAAGTCCCGAGGCTATGATGAGGCACAGCGTAGGGCAGGAGAGCCTCCAAACCAATTATATCACATGCCGTGCTATTAATGCAACTAACACGATTACGCCTGGCCAAGTATGGCCCCAGGGATCGACGAGGAGAGTGGGAGCAAGGACGACTGACCGGGGGAAGAGCAGAGAAAGGTAGCCGATGTCCACCCCGCTGGCGAGTGGTCGTTGAGTGAGCTCCGCCACGATTGGATAGAAGAGGGACAAGGCCTGGCCATAGCCACCGTATCAAAAAAAAAAAAAAACAGTGCATGGGCTGGGGCCTGGGACAGCTCCGGTTCAGGCTGGGCGATACCGCAGGCCAGCGACACACAATGGGGTAGGTGATGAAAGCGTCGCATTCGCAATCCAGCAGGTATGAGCTGGCAGTGCGTTGCAGCTTGCATGTCTTGGTAACCAATGATGGCGGCTACAACAGCACTCAGGCGCGCAACACGACACAGCCAGATGTGGACTAGGGTCGTATTGGCGACCGGTGCCCATTGGTCACATTGGCCGCACTGACTGTGACAGCGAGGAGGGCGTGCGCATATCGCGCGCAGACCGCCAATCAGAGATCAGAGAGCTGCATACAGCCAATCAGAACGCATACACCCCGCTAGCGCGTCCCGACAGTCTGGTTCACTAACAAAAAGCGCAACTTTGGTGGTATTGCCAGTGGAGATGCTACGCAACAGCTTGCCCAGGCCCACCGTGGCAGGCAGGCAGGGGCCCTTGCCATTCTGGCTGGATCGTTGTGAGGGATTCCCTGCCCCCTAAACGACTTAGGTTCACCACCCTCCGACCACCCGGCCGATACTGGCATGATTCTCAGTCTCGAGCTGCACCGTGCTAGAGAAGGCAATGGTCAGGCAAACGGGCATGTTGAACGTGCGCGTGAAACTGTACTTGTCTTTTGTTTCCCTGGTTTCCCCGGAGTCCAAGAGGCCTCTGGCCGGCTGGTCAGCCCACTTGCTAGCTCATGCGAGGTGGAGATGGGAGTCGTCGCAATGCCCGTCTTGTCTTTCCTGGTTTGGTTCTGCTTGTCCCCCTCATGGCGGTGCTTGACGGCCGTGGCTTGCTTTCCTCTACTGGCTCGGCATATATCTTTGTTTTCAAACGGAAACTGGCAAGTGCCGCAGTGCAGGCCAATGGGAATAAGCAATGTGCCAGTAGGGGTCGTCTCGTCTTGCTGACATGATTAAGTGCCGTACAGGCTGGATCGGCCGCCGGCTTCAGACGAGCCTGCAACGAACGGCCGACCGTACATAGTGAAATGATACATGCCCTGCTCGTATCATTAGCATCCGGAGCGCGGACCACCAACCCGCAAGGCCCAGGCTCCAGATTCATGAATCAAGGTCCAAGATTTAATCGCCTCTGGGGGGTACTTTTGCCCAGCTTCCACGTTTGAAGCCGGGCATATTTGGCGGGTAGGGTTGAAACCGGTGGCAGAGATGAACGTCCAGGTACTGCGATGGGTACATGGAAGGGTTGCAAGGGAGCGACGCACATCTGGTGTGGGGATCCAAAGGGCTGACGCCACTCCGATGTGAGATGTACGGACAACCCAAACAAGTCACTTCTAGATGCGACGGTGAGGCGACCTAAGGCAATTCTCTTTACCGCCCTTTGGGATTTGCCTTTAGTGTCCTCGTTTTCTCGGGGGTGGTTTTATTTATCTTGCAGCCTGCAGTGATAATATTGGTGGTGGGAGGAAGCAGAGAGGAGGCGAGGGGAGGGTGGGCGAACATTCTGTGCAGGGCCGCGAGCTCTCAGTTCAGCTAGGTGCTCACTAAAGAAAACAAGGTAGGTGCTAATCTGCCACCTCCTGCCTCTTGACACGGCGCTACGATCAAACCCCAAGCTAATCGGTCCCTAAATTGCACACACACACCTTTCATCGGCCTGCCCACACCACTCGCAAGTAGCGACCGCGGGTTTTCAATCCGACCCGTCCTAGTGTCGATTCCATCGCGTACGAGTGAAGCTTGAACAATGACGCGGAAATGATGTCTCCAGGATGCGGCCCCAGCCCGCAACTAGCAACGCGGCCGGTGTTAAGTCGGCCGGCGGATGATCTCGAGAGCTGCGCCTACGGTCTTTCTCTCCCGATACCTGCTGTTAATAGCAACAATAAAGTCGTGTTATGCAGGACTACGTCGACTTGATATGTACTCTCATTGTATCATAGTGAGCGGCCCCCAATGGCACGCTGCTAATGCTGCCGTCGAGGACTCAGCTGCACAGGCATAGATCCAGTAGGGCAAGTTTTTCATCTCCCATTGGATGATTCCAATGCTGCCATCCGTCATCTTGAGACGCATGAGGTGGGTAGGATGGGATATCATAGGGCAGTCCAATAGGCAGCACCGCCTTTATGCTGGTGCTCCCAGAATGGAACTTTGGGCCGGTAGTCATCGTGGTATTGGGTGAAGGTAGCAAGCCGCCAGCTCACCATGACGACGCAACGGATGAGAAGCACCTCCGAGGTACACACGGCATGTCAGAGGTCTAAGCAGATGGTTGGCTGATGCTGGGTGGGTGGGATGTGTGTAGATTCGGTTTGCAGGGTACGTACCTACCTACTGTTTGCTTCCTCCCGGGTTTATTTTCAACAGCCTCCAGGAGTTCGTCCGTCCGGGCTGCTACCTTCATGGCCAATTTGTCCAACTCACCTGGCGCCATTCCCTTGTTCATCGTGTGCCGGGCTAACTGCGAAAGGTAAACTACCTTACTCTATCCGGACTCAGTAAGGTTATGGATGGATCACGGTCGCTCCCTCAGAGCCCCTCAGACACCCCCTGCACAATGCTCAGCCTTCATTGGGGGAACCCAGATCCATGCTCAATCAGAAAAGATCACCATCCGCCGGTTTCGTTTCCGCAGTCGTCCAGATCAATCCCTGTCGCTATTGTCTTCATCTGTAGCCCGCACTTGTTCGGTCTAGCTCCCTGCCCCCAAGCTCTGTTTCATCATCTACGCATGGGCGGCTTGGTTTTGCTGCTACGTTAGATGTGCTGCAGCGCACTGGCTTTAATCTCACATGGCAGCTAAACAGAATGATTGCATAGCATGCGTAGAATGGAGGTGAGAGCCATCAAGAATCACGCAACGGGGATTGCACAGCAAAGAAAAATCCTGCACATCTGTGAGCTGACCGTTTGGGTGCTAATAACTGTGGGTTCGGGATGATCCCGTGCTCGACGTGTCTTGACACCCGCAGCGTCAGAAGGAGCGCCGTTCTGTATTACGCAAATGCCGATAGGGCTCTGTGTCATCGAAGGACTAACACCGTCCCAAGGCATACAACGCAGGTACCTGGCGTCTTGCATTCTGAAATTCTGACCAGCCTCCTGTTGGCTTCGGCCCTTCAAGGGATGGGGACCAGATTGGTGTGAATTAGTGCCGAATCAAGGGTACTTGGGTACTCGCCGCAAGGCAAAATAACGACCCAAATCACCGCATTTGGTCATTCGCACCTTCTTCCCTTTGTCGGCTTAGCAACGTCAAGTGCTGGCAATGAATTGAATCCATGCAAAAGGTCCCTTTCTCAGGCTGACCCATCGACTAGCTTGACCGGATTAATAGCGACAGGAAGCCCATTACGAAACCTCCATCCGCTTTTGCGCTTTGGGGATAAATTTAGGGCTGGAGAAACAGCCAGTCACAAAGCCTACCCTACAGCGTAGGTATCACCTGGCTAAGAAACATCAGGGGGGGACCGAACGGAGCAAGATACATAAAAGAACAAAGGAGGATATGATTTGCTCTACATTTCGGCCGGGTTGGTTAATCTGGGGTCTCAAGGTATTGGGCTGTGGGATTGACGGGCGTTTCGGGTCCAATTGATTCGCATTGGGGTTCTGCCGTCATTGCTCAGCCTACCTCAGTTATGGTAACTGTAACCCACCTTCCGCCCCGCTAACACATCTTCAGCGGCAGAGGGAGTACTTCACGAGGTATGAACACTCTTCAGTCGACCAACAAACAATGGCTACAGCCTTCTAATCGCCATTCTCGGCATTACTATTTTAGACTTGACATATGTACGTATTCACATGGATGCAGCGTACGTGTGTGCCATGTGTTGTAGCCTTTGGCTGTCAGCCTTGCTGTGCTTTAGAAGTCTGGTGAATCCTAGCGGGCGAGAGGCAACAAAATCACAGAGCACCTCTGCTGTGTTATAGCGCTGATTGGAGATTCATGGGGCACTTTCAGTCCGTCTCACGGCATGAAATGACCGGAAAGGGAACCATAGGTAGGAGAGGGAACGTTTGCAGGGAGGTAGGATTGGAGCGGGCGTCGAGGAGCGTCTCATCAACATGATGCACGCAATTGGGCCACTGTCTGAGCAAGTCCTAGCGAGGAGTGTTCATTTCCGTACAGTCGGTACAGCAAGCCGCATGAAGCCGGCCACCGTAGCCGCGGACGCAGTACTTGCAGGAGACGTAGCAGTGCAAACGGGCGGCTGCCAGAAGCGTCCAGATGTGCATCCTGCGATGCTGTCAAGCTTGTTGATCCGCACCTGAGACCTGTAGAGCCGGATACCACCTGAAGAGCACATACTGCTGGAGGTGAGGCGCGGGTCTGTTGGGGTTCAGCCCACTGCACTCGCCATATTTCCTTCTGGAGAGCAGTGGAGAGCACCTGACGGACTGGATCCAACGTTCAATGACTGGGTTAGTGGGCAGACAGGGAAAGACAATGTACCTCGACCAGCTCCGCTCCGAGGCCCCTTCCACCTCTCCATGCATGTCGCCTGTGCTCACATCCTTGCAAAGATTATTTGATCGCCACGCCCCTCCCATCTCCCAATTTGTTATAATCACTCATGCTACCCTGGTTCGGTTGGCGGGACCCTCCTGATCAACTAGGGTGCACCTCGGCGCCTGGATGACAGCTGCTCTCGCCCTGCCAGCCAGATGAGCTTCCGCCCGCTGTCAAGTCCTCCGCACCGTGCCTTGAGAAGCATCGAGTGAACCACACTCTTCGGGCCCCGTAGGGGAAGCTTGGGTATTGTCCCCCAAAGGTAGGCCCCCCCTGCCTCTGGCCTTGCGTTGCCTTTCGTCGCCTAACACGGGCACCGGTTTCTTTCACTGCACCCACCCCCCAGGAAGCGCCTTGTGGCCGCCCTCTGGTGTCCCGGGGATGACACTCTTTTCTTGTAGATACCTTGTACCGCGGGTTGATCTACCTAAGGTACTAAAATGCCATCTTCCCTCTCTTCGATTGTGAATATGAATCCACAAGTTCTTCTCTCAGCTCCTTTATTTCTTCTGGCACCTCCTCCCATCTGTCTCGTCACTTTCCTCGTTTTCTTCCATATCCATATCCTCGCACCCTCGTCCTCCCAACTCCCTTGCCAGGTCACCGCTTGGTTGCATTTCGGGCCTCCCTCCTGGCCGTGTTGTATGCGACCACTTTGAGGGCAGGCTGACTTCAATTCGACTTCTTGCTATCTTGACGTCGACTTGTACCTATATCAGCCTCCTCTGGTCCCGAATCCTCTCCCATCGCCAGACCACAAACTTTTGCATATATTTCAGCCAAGCCCGCACTTTGCTTCTCCCTTTTTAGAGTCACTTGGAACTGCCATCAGTTTGGACACACCTAATACTCTCTCATCTGCGCGCTACCACACCTGAGCTCAACACTCATCTATACCAGACACCCACACATTGTCACCCTGAACTTCCAGGAATGATGGGAAAAGTGTCATATATTGCCAATCAAGTGTCGCAAGCTCCTTGTATGACCGGACCATTGAGCCTTATCGACGACCAGCGACTGTCCGTCGAAGCTCCGAGCTCCGTATACCCAGACCTCGCACCCTACTCCTCTGTAAGCCATTCTCACCTTGCACGGCAACACTAATCGCTAACATATGCCTCTAGGCTGCTTCATTTAACCTTCCGGCGCACTGCGACCCCTCGCTGCTAACTCCCAACTCGACTGCTGGATCGCCTCTTCTGCTGCCGGGCTCGGAATTTCGGCCTCAATACCCTTCCCCAGGAACCCCACACAAGGAGCTCACACCCCCAGATTCTACCAGCATGTATCCGTTCCAGAACCAATTCGAAATGAACAGCCAAACAAGCCAAAGCGGTTCTCCAATGACCCAGCCCACGTCCACTCCTGGTGATTTTGGCGAGTCGTCCTACGTAGTAGACGGCCGACGAACCCCCAACCCTCCCACCGAAGCATACATGGGCTCCTTCGGCGTGTCAGACGGCACACTGCCCCATGGACTACAGCACCAAAGCAGCCCTTTCTACATGATGCAAAACGCGCAGCCTGTAGACCACATGCTAAGGGACGACCATTCAATTCCTCTCGATGTTCCACGCAACATGACTCGCTCATTGCCTCTGCATTACCACCACCACATCAAGTCGGAGCCTCGAGAGGGCGACGAGCCACTTTTCTCCTTGAGGTCTGGCGGCACCTACCCGCCTATCGGATCTCCGTCTAGGCACTCCCGTACAGCATCCAGGGTCCGCAGCAGAAAACGGAGCGCAGCCAGCCGCAGGTCTATGCCAACCCGCCCCTTAGTTCAGGCACGCGAGCCCGTCGAGGAGAACACAAACTGCCACGGAGAAGAGGTGCCGCCGCTCTTGAAGGACGGCTGCCCGGCTGAGGAAAGGTGCATTTTTGAATCGCGCTGGCGCCATCGCAACCAGAAGGGCCAAGACATGTGGAACAGTGTCATTAGGGACCATGCCAAGGCGTTCGGTTCCAAAGCCATCACGAAGGAGAAGCTGCAAATGAAGTACAACCGTGGTCGGCCTAGGTGGTACCAATGGCTCGATGATGATGTAAGTTTCGACCCCTTCCAAGAAAAGCACACTGCCCACTGCAGTAACATGGGTACTAACTTGTCCAATTGCAGGAGAACATCCTTCGTCGAGCCTGGTGGATCGTTGAGAAAGAGCGATACCAGACAATCCTCAACAAGTTCATTGAACTTGGCGGCTCCCGCAACATGAATGCGAGCGAAAAAGACATCGAAGCGAAGCTTGTCGAATTGAACCTTGAACAGGACATTTACATACAGCCGTTGGAGGACACTAGCGTTCGCAGGCGGCGCAAGCTGTCAGACAAGGGCAAGCGATACTTTGAGCACTCGGAAATTGCCCACGGGACCCCTACCCACGGCTTCCAGAATACGCGCCACCAGGATGAAGTCATCCACCAGATTCAGATGCAACAGCAATGGGAGCATGGCTCCCTCATTACGCCTGATTCCATCCAGGTTCAGGTGCCCGAGCGCCGTACTGTCAAAATGGAATCTGGCGCGGCAGCCCACACTCGTGGCGCATTTGACCGAGCGAAGAAAGAGTGAGCCTGTTGGGCCATTCCGGATCCTTTCTCCGTTTCAATAGCACTCATTTGTTTCTGGCTTCTTCTCTACGGCGCGGCGCATGGTGGCATTTGCATATTCGTTTGGGGGCGGCGGTTCGATAAATAACGACATACAATTTCCTTACCTCACGGTCTACGGAATAACATATTAGAATGGTCCAAATCTTCTCGTCGAAGGGGTAGCGCATTGTTTTTTGGCTTGGTTTTCTGCAGGGGGGGTTACAACATACTTGGGTGGCTGATTACTACTGGATTTCACATGCATCAGGAGCGATTTTATACCGGAAAAAGATGTGGGCTTGCTTGTTATCTATCGGAGTGTTTTCTTTTGTCTCTTTTATTCCACATTGATTTCCCCATGAGCCTGTTCTTGTTTTGTTTCTTGCAAAGTATTACACGTGTTTAGCGCGACAATCACATACATACATTGCACCCTAGATTTGCCCACCTCTTCATTTAGCTGTACCTTACTACTTGAGAACTGGATGGACATGGGTTGTGAAAGGTTAACCGATCCACTGTGAACGATGACAGGGGTATGTGGTTGATATCGTGGTCCGATGTGGGGCAGGATGGAGGAGAACTAATCTTCAATATTACTCGCCCGCGACAGCTGTGCTTGGAGGCTCAGGTCAATGATGCAAGGGAGGGTCCTCTTCAGAACAAGCTGTAGCGCATGCGGTCATGTCCGACGGGGACGAGCGGATGCGGAGGGGTTACCAGGCCATTAGCACGTACTAATCTTTGCGGGCGGCAGGGAAACGGGCTGTCTACCGTACGATCTACCGAAAGGAACGATACGAGAAGGTTTCGTTGGGGGCGAAGTGCTTCACAGGCTTCCACGTCTATCGATTCGATGGGGATAATAGCGGTAAAGAAGGTAACTTGCACAAAAGTCCAATCCGCAAATCGCATCGAGTCACATATGCCATGTGAGCATCCAGCCTTACGGTAATAGGTTCATGCTATCTGTATGCTGTGCTGGCGTGCGCGGCAACCTGGCGTTCCGGCCAAAGAGGGGACGACGAAGCCCAATCTTGGGCTCCACATGCCGTCTGGTGAGTCGCCCGTCCTGAAAAGCTAGGTTTGGGTTTTGGGCAGAGAGCAATCGCAAATTTGCCAGATGCCGATGAACCAGACAGACGTGGAGGGAAAGTAAGGTGGTGGGTGTAAAACGGGCAGGGAGGGAAGAAGTGGGTCGATTTCAACCGGAGAAAAATCAAAGAAAAAAACAAATGGGGCTCATGGAGACTAGACAGGGGTTCTAAAGAGCTAGCGAAGATGAGCCCCAGGGGGCTAACCCACCTTTTGGCTCGAGCGTCAGGTCCAGGGTTTTGTCCTTTCCCCCAGCCCAGCGACTGAACTACACTGCCATCCCGCCAGATTTATCCAAAGAGGAAACATGGGACGTTCCCATCTGATGGGGGGCGCGGAGGAAGACATGGCATGCTATCTGTTATTTCTCCCCGTCGAGCTTCTAGGGGGGAGGGGATCTGCGCCACCGTGACGGTTTCCTTGGGAGGGTAGGTCGCCCATACACGTGCAGGAAACCGGGCATATTTGGAAGCGCTTCGCTCGACATCGCAGAGGAGGGGACCCATGCAGCTAGGGATAGTCGGGGTGAGGGGCCGGGCTAACCCCCTGTGGCTGCTCTGCCTGTACGTACTGCGGTACGTACCGACTCTCTACCCCAAGGTCTGCCGGGGGAGGGGTGTGTTCTGCTGAGCACGTTTACCTAGGCTGGCACGCATTGATGATGGGATAATGGTTCCTTGGAGAAGGGCGGCCGATACGGTGTTTGGGAATTTGGGGGCTGGCAGGGCTGGATCTCTGATGATAAATATAATGTCGGTCTGGGAGCGGAATTAGCGTCCTCTTGTTGAAGTGATTTGGGGAGTTGTTCATGCTCTACTCCCATCACCCTCTGAGCTGGAGGCGTCTGAGGGCGTGGAGGTACATTTCTAGGGTGTTTTGCAAAAATTACCTAATCGGACGATGTATCTTTCCGCATTCGGCCTGGTACATTAGTGGGGCCATCGATTGATATCAAGATGATGATTTACACGTTCTAGCCCGGGCCCAGGCGTAATTTGCTAGGCTCCAGGTCAAATGCCTTGGGGTGAGCCATGAGGAGCAGTAACGACACATCTTACTGAATGCGTAAATAGGACAAATGGTGTTCGGAATGGAAGGGCAGTGGTGCTTCAGGGCAAGAGGGCAAGACAGATACGGACATTTGTCTTCTTTTCTCTTCGATTGCGTTGTCCGACACCCTTGTCCGGCTGGGCTCCGCTGCTGAGGTTCCATTGCGTCGAGCTCTGGCCATTTGAGTTGAAACAGTCTCACAGTACCGAATCTTATAGGCTGGTCAGATTCACTTGCCGTTGTATTGGCTGGTGGGACATGTATTTGCTTTTTTCCCTTTGTAATGCCAAATCTCCCTGCGGAATGTGCTGTGCACTAGGTTTCTGGTTGGTCTGCGTTATGTATGCATAGTTTCATGTGCCGTGGAGGCTCATCGCTACGCAATGCCGCCGGTAGTGCGTAGGGCACTTTGCGAGCCGATTCAACCAACAGGACCTTAATAGCCGATACTGATTTGCCGAAGCATGTGCATATTACGGATCGTTTTGACGATCGAATCAAGAAGAAAGATGAATCGGAAAAGGATCTTGTGCATATCGCTGAAAGGGGCGCGGCTGTGGGAACCCTATCGTCGGCACAAGACACTGTGATCTACAAGCCTACTGAGAGGCTCTAATCCATTGAAAATCATTCTACGATTGAAATTGGAGTCTTGAGATGAACATGCATAGATTCCGTTTCATTTGTATGTTTCACCCTGACCGCCAAGAACCCAAGCATCATTGTACCAAGCCACATAGTGCTGCAACAGAGAGAAAATTTGTAGAGACGGTTTCGTTTCCTTGTGCACAGAAGCCTCGGTAATCCGGATTTCCCTTTCGGATGGCGATTTACAGGAGTGGCGGTTGCCCCAGCCCTAGTTGCTGGACCACAGTCTCAGCCTTATCATTGTACAGGACGCGGTATTGACGGTTGCACCACCGAAAATCGAAAAGAAAATTTTTGTACGAGTACTCTAGGTCATTTTACATTCTGAAAACAAAACTTTGGTTTCGGACAATTGATCGTGGCGGTAGACGTTGAGCCAAATGCCGGAGATCGGCTCAGGAGGCGGGTACAGCCAACAGCCCCAAGATTACTAAAATCCAAATGGCCCCAAAACCAGTCAGGAGTTCCTTTCTTGCCGATGAAGCTTGCTTCACGAATTCCTGCGGAATTTAGGATGGTTGGAGCTGCTTGGATAGACCTTGATATGCTATGTTTTATATGTGTTACTGAGCTCTGGTTGGAACTTTCATGTTTACAACCCCGACTTGCAGTGGTCCTTGCAGTAATTTTCGTGAGCAATTAAGAGAAGGGCAGAAAAGTACAGTCTGTAGCTTTCGAGGCTTTAAGGGGATGGGTTTGCAAGTTTGCTTCACCGAATAGCTATTGTTCTGGTTTCTTGCCAATTTTCACTAGACATGTTTCTAGATACCCTTGCTTTGGAGACTACCCTTCATACGTGTGAATCTGAACAGCCAGGGACGGACTGAATTGACCGAGCCTGAAAGGAAAAAAAAAGTCCGCCCCTCCTCACCCTCCTAGAACCACCACTACACCATCTGGCGGATGCGCAATGTCAACCACTTTTTTTCTGTCACCAATGTAGCCTCTAGCGTCTCCAGGCATATCCCATGGCCATTATATCGGCCAGGCTCAATAGAAAGGACGCAGAATTATGCCTTGCCAGTTGTCCAGCGCGGCCGACTTTGCGTCCCAACAGTTCGGTAAATTGCGGTGGAGGCAGTCAGTCAATACGAGTCGTAGAGCTTACGCGGAATGTCCTGACCGATATTTCACGCCGAACCAGTGCGGAGTCTGGAATGAGAGGACTTTTGAAGGGCAGATGAGCTGTCGTCGCCATCTCTTGTGCTGTCTTCGTTCTGAGATGGAGTGGTGAGGTCAAGCGCCGCCTGTAGGTCGGCCCAACCTGGGGTGAGGGGGGCTCAATTACTATTGACCAACCACTCGCGGACTCGATTTTGCGGACAAGGGCTTGATATGTATGGCATGTTGTGGATGGAAACTGAGCCACGTCTCTGCGCTACTTTTCGACCGACTTCCCACCCCCCCTCCAAAACTTGCAATCCGCTCGCCGAGTGGGCTGTATACAGTACACGCGCCATGTACAAGTGGAATTGAATGAGTTGAGACAATGGATACCGTCTGGATTCAGGCAGCAACATCACAATTGCACGGAGTACATCGATATCCTGGTTCTTGTCGACACGCCCAGGATAGAGCCAGGGGGGGCAGCCACCTACTTCACCAAGTGCGGAACGTCCGCATCCAGAATTTGTAACGTGACAGCCCTTGCCTCGAACCCTTCCCAATCTCGTCGATCGTAGCCTTTCTACTCTGCAGTTAAGCGCCGGCTACCAGCACTCCTGGCTGTCAGTGGCCTTGTTCTTGTGAGTTCAACCGTCAATCACCAACACCCTCGCTTAGCAGTGTACCCTACAACGTACGATGTTTTTCCGCCTACCGCGGGATCTGGTTCTGCGACGACTCGCGCGCGTTAGACGATTATCATACTGTCTTCCATTTTGATGTACACACAAAGGCCATTGTCAACGGTGGGAGATGGGGTTGGTTCTTGATGAGGCCAAGCTTCCCTCTTCCCCTGCCTCCCACCCCCCCAGACCATCCCCCATTTCGGTCGGTAGACCTGCCGAGCATGATATGAAGGCGAAATGTGATAGCGTAATTCATGGAGAGGGTGTCTGGTCGATTGCCCTTCCTACCACCTCTCATCTTCCTTACTGTTACCCTTACACCTACCCTTGTTTTCGGCTGATAGGAGATTCGCTCCACGGGCTACCTGACGCGCTTGTTTGACCTGTGCTCCACAGC